GCCCTAGTGATATTCATATAGTAATATCAAAGCCGTGTACCGCCTGCTATCATGCCTACTACGAATATCAGTGTCGGAAGTGAAATTCAGTGCTAGACCAATATCATTATTGAATTGACATTGTTGACTGCACGCAGCACTGATTGGTAGCTCATATTTTTTTTACTTAGCATAGCAAAAAATTAGGAAGGCGTTTTCATAGTTTTTGAGATATATATTTTTGAAAATATTAAGTCTTATGTTTTTGCCTTACAACTATTGGTTAAAAGTGACTGAACTGGACGACAATATGGCTCGTTGTATTTTTTCATTGAAGCTTAGACCTTCGTGCATAGCATACCGAAAATTCAAGAATGTTGTACCTGTTTACGAGATAATTTTTCTTTATAATAAATTATTAGTTTCTACTAGAGCCCTATAAGAGAGAGAGAGAGAAACGCGAAGACAAATAAAATAACTGGCAACATGATGATATTTTTTCACACGCACTAGCAACCCTAAACGTTGTTCACAACATGCATGACTCGTCGTTTTCGTCAAGTATTGTTGTTGGTGAAAATTGAGATTTGAGTTCAAACGTTATTAAAGATGTTTTTCGATGATCCATAATTTATTTTCATCTGTTTTATTTCAAATCCAATCCAAATTTGCTTTATTAAAATATTATGGTATTATTTTTTGGGCGATAACAATTCTTTCAATCTAATAAATACAAAATCTTTCCACTGACAGGTCTTCTGCAATTCAATTGGCTGCAGATACGACTTCTCGTTTCTCTCTCCCTCTCTTACAGAGCTCTAGTTTTTACCTACACTAATTTCTAATTCACTGTTCGTATTTCGCTTCTAACTACCAAAGAGGTGGTATGATTGACTCGTAGGTAATTCGACCTATGCGATATATAAAAAATACTATTGTCAATAAATTCATCAGTTACGAAACTAAATTGTCATATCGAATATTCTTTACTATAAAGTGCAAATGTTCAATAGTGCTAAGTGGGTAAATGTTTCGTATGTTAGAAAACTTTACCCGATATATTGCCACATAGTTTCATCACTGAACAACAAGGATACTATTTGGTATAGGGGAAATGGATGTAATGTCGGCCTAAATGCCCCTAATAAATTCAGCAATCGACTAAATTTTCAATAGCGTCCAAAAATATCCATTAGTACCGTTCCAATGACGTTTTCATCTAGATAAAATTAGAGAATAGTAGATTTTTAGAGATGGGCCCAATCTTAGATCCAATTTTTTTAAATACTTTGTCCGAACATTCATATTTTTGGCAACACTGGGCCAAAGTTAATAATATCAAATGAAAATTAATTAAAAATACTTCTTAGAAAAAATATAATGATATTAATAAAACGGGATTTTGTATTGAAACATATTGATTGTATTTTTGTATGGTTTTCATGGTTTGTAAGCAGAGGGTGCAATATGTTTTTATATTTTTCATTAAAAATGTAGGCTTTTTTACACAACATATGAAACAATCAGCGGTGTGTTTTTTGTTTGTTTTTGAGTTATATTTTTTGAAGTTTTTTTTTTTTAAGTTACGGGGTTACTAGTGATCCGGGATTGAATTGAACAGGGAATTGGAAAAGTATCCGGGAAAACCGGGAGATTGAATGGGAATGGGAGAACTGGGAAAAATCAATAAACCATTTTTTTTTTTCGTGTTGGGTATCCCGAGCAAATGATTATACCAAATTGATAACAAGTTCTGATACCCGGTGATCAAGATTTAATAACTGAACATGTTATTACTGTGGTTGAAAAACAGCCAACATAACCAAAATTATAACAAAAGAATACTTCTGGGGTATCACCAAAATAACTGATTTAGTTATCAATGAAAACATCTTGATAACAAATCCTGTGATCCATGCAAATTTCTTTAATAAAATTCCAAATTATTTTATCGATTTGGAATTTAAACTTTACACTGATAACTGAAATTTATGTTTTTTTCTCACCATGTGGATAATATTTGAAGTTTTGTACTAACCTTGCATCATTTCATATTCTTTCATGTTACCAAGTGATAACAAAATTAGTCGAGGTTGGTAACTAAATTAGTTATGCGATAACATCTGAAAACCAAATGATATCTGGAATAACAAGACTTGTTTTCAAGATGATATCAGGTTGTTATTTTACTTTACTCGGGTATTCATCACTTTGTGTATATTCATTTCTTTGATCTATTGTGATGGCGCATCACGTACATACACGTCAACAGCACTGGATCTGTTGTTGAATTCAGAACATCATCCTTGTGAACACGAAACATGTTTCTCGAAAACCAGAACCGCACCGTGTGCAGGAAAGTTGTAGATACAATAGTTTTAAGCAACTTTGCTAAAAAGTCATGTCTATCTCTTTCTTTGGTCATTCTAGAGCTATTTTTTTGTCGAAGGCAGTAGGGTTGAATACCCCATTTTTGGCCTATTAAGCACAACCCGCAAAGGCTATTTCTTAATCTAGCGCAGTTTAGCACCAAACGGAATGTTATTATTACTGAAGGCTTCCAATTTATTTACCTTTCCGTATGTACCGTAAGATTTGATAAAGAGAAACCAATCGTTGAGATATTGCCAAAAGTCTAACACTGCTTCTTGACTCCAAACTCGGCCTACGGATTGAAAACTCGGCCTAACGCATTTAAACGCCATTGAAACGCCAATGAATTCACTTTGGCCTATCGGATGAACATAAAAATTGATTCGGTTGGAGCGCTTCTTTTGTTTTTGGGAATAATGGGTTCAAACGTTCATATCACGCGTTCTCATTGACTTAGTTCCGTAACTTATTAACTAAAGTATCGTACCAAACGCATAATTGGTTGTTAACTCTGGAATCATGGATTTATTTGAAGTTTTCTGCTCGATAGGCCCAAAATGGGCGATTATGCCGAAGTAGTTCTCTACCCTAATCCTCTTAAATGAATAGTAACAGAGTAAATATATTTTTTTTTTTTTAACGGCGCCGGTGGTGTAGTGGTAAGCGTGATTACCTCTCACCCCAGCAGGCCTGGGTTCAATCCCAGTTGGCGCCGCCGGGATGTTCTGAGGCATAACATCTCTGATCACGCCTTCCTTCGGATGGCAAGTAAAGTCGTTGGTCCCCGGTTTATGAGTTGATGGGTCGATAGGTAGGGTCCAGGTGTGGGAGCTGTCTTCCTGGTACGTCGGTAGCATTGGTGCTCAGCACGGAAAACAAGATCGACGGAAAAAAAAAACCAAAGGAAAAAAAATAAATAAATATTTTTTTATGCTAAATTGCCGTTTCAACCATAGTGCAATGTTTTCAAACCCGGATTGAACATACGTGACATTTTACAGAAAATATAACTATTTTCGTACTGTTAAATACTTCTTTACTAAAAAAAAGGAACCTGACATTGACTATTAAAAAATGGTCTCCACTAGGTCACTGGGGTTCTTACATTGCAAAATACTACTACGACTGACTTGAACGTTTTGAAAGTAATTCAGATATAATATCACCCCAGACTCAACTATGTTTTTAACCCTGAATTAAGCATACGTCACAAAGATTGGTCATGTCATGAAACGGACACACACACACTTTCAATTACAATTTTTTTGTCTACTTAGCTTGATGCGTTCTTCGAAATTAAATAAAGCATTTCTGAAAACATGACGCTGCAAAGTCTCTAGGCCAATCGGGTGAGATCTTTCCATTTTATCTATTTATATTTTATTTTTTGTCACTTATTTATCAAATGCTCTATATTGACGAATAGAGTTACCAAATCATTCACCCTCCCACTAACACAACTCTTTCCTTCCTGTGACACCTATGAAGGTAGTATGGGTTCCCTGCACCTTCTTAAGTAGATGTTGGATTAACTTTCCCTCCCTTCCCCTGCGATTGTAAGGATGTGGCCAGGTGTATAATGCGATGCTTGTTTTGTAGATTTTATTTTCGTGTGGGGAAAATCACTAATCCCAAGTGATATTTTCTGCGTCAACACTCGATATTTTCTGCAAAACGTATTAGTTGACCATTATATAGCCACCCACGATTTGTACAATCGCATATGCTATGCTATGCTATGCTATGCTATTCATTTCTTTGATCTATTGTGATAGATTCCCCATTTTTATATTGCTTTATCAGTATTTTGTATAACTATTTTGTGAAGCGACCGACCAGTGTTGGCGAAATCATCAATCAAATTATATTTTTTCGCTCTCATACGCTCCCAATATCACGCGTGATATTGGAACAAAATATCATGCTTGATATTGATTTTACAAGCTTCTTTGATATTGCGAGACTATTCACAACGTGCAAAAATCAAGCGGAGAGTTGACTAGACACAAAAATGATTCCGTTGCACATCGTTTTCTTAGAAAGAGAAAGTATAGCTTGCTATCTCTTTTTACTGTTCACCGATGGCAGACACGAAGTGACTGCTGCCAGCCGTTATGGGAGTTTCGGTTGCGTTCGGATGTAAAGCAAAAATCATTAAACTCAATCTCACCACAGTTTGTTGAGATTTGCAGCTGGTGAGTTTTGTTAGCTTGATATTCTGAGCTGCGATATCACAGCTTGCAAAATCAACTGCAGCTGTATGCTTGTTGATATTTGTCTACGAAAATCAAGCGTGACCATGGGCATTGGTGAGATTTGATTTTTTGATATTTTCCCAACACTGCGACCGTTATATAATGACCAAAAGCAGCAAGTATCAAAAGCGTTCTGTGTTGTACCTTTTGACTGTAGTTTTAATATGTATTGTATAGTGAACAAAAATCCTTAGCTCTGTAAAGTTAATTCGATTGAGCCTTATCAAATAAATTAATTAGTAAAAAAAAATTGTTACACCATCACAAATCCTACTGAATGAATTTACAATTCACAAATCAATTTGCCGCCCAAGGGAAGTACCAACCTTCCCATCCGGTCCTGCCTGGCAGAACCAGCCAAGACATCAAAAGATTCAAATTATCCGACATGGCCGGGCGACGAAAGTTTTCCTAGCTTCCGCCCATAATATCATTATCGGCTTAATCATGTACAGCAGCTTTGGAAGACATTTCCGCCATGCATTGGTCACAGAGCGTGTAAACTTTAGCATTCCCATAGTGTATCTCTCTCTCTCTCTCTCAGTGTCTGTGTCTGTGTCTATCTTTTGAACTTTGACTTTTCCGTTGTGAGGACGACGACGAAGTATGACCAAACGCGACAAGATAGAAGCTTAAAAACATAATTTTTAAGTACCCTATTATTTCAATACGTGCAACGTGCGAGGATGGACTGCCTTCTGGAACTCCGGACGGAACGGAAGGTACGGAAGCAAAGATGCACAAGGATTATTTTTTATAGTTCCATAAATACTTTTAATTAGAGTGAAAGTTTTTACATCGTCACTGCAACATCGCTGAGCTGGAGCTTGTTCCTGGCGTAGATCGATATGATTTTCGATGGATGGTGAAAGGAACTTCCTCTGTACTTCAACGTAGCCGAAGAGAAGGAAAAGCGGGGAAAGGTTAATTATAGTCGTTCAACGGGATTCCATCCTTCTTTTGGTGCGAAAAATGTCATTAAGGGCTTTTGGAAAAGTGACTTCCTCGACGCTACGTTGACTGCTCTGAAAGGCGGCAGATGCAAGTAATTATATTTCATAGGGTGGGAGATGCTCTCGATTTATTCTACATAAAAACACTAATGGGGTGGAACTTTAAGAAAACAATGGTTGACTCAAAGATCACAGTCTTGAATTGCATTATCACAATTTGTATCTGAAAAAGAAGAGACAGTTAGTCGAATTCTTTAGACAGACAAGTTCACGGAGCTGTGGAGACGATTTCAATTTTTTCAAACACCTATGAATATCTTTCAACATGTCGAGAATTGGCCGGGATCGACTCCACAGTTCCGCAATATTGAAGCATCTCACCGTGCATGGTTGCGCTATCTTCTTTCTTTCTACAGAAGCCACGTGAAAATTTATAGATTACTACAAGAGTTGCAACGGTAGCGACGATCGGCAACACACCCAAGAGTGCGTATGAGCTCAACTGTTCAAGCCATGCTAGAGTTATAATGGTTCGTACACATTGCAATTCTCCATCAACTTCTCGTTGTTCATAGTCTTCGTTACACATGCAAACCTCTGGTTCCTGACAGATACCGTTTGTACAGTTGCCGCAAGCCGGTTCACACGTTTCGGTTTCATTTGACATCTCGTAACCTTCGAAGCAAGTACAGTTACCAGGCACTTCACATATCCCATTACTGCAATTCTCGCACACCGGACTACAGCTGAAGTTGCTCTCCAAGTTATCATAGCCTTCTTCACAAATGCAAAATTCCTCTACACAAAGGCCGCTTACAGCATCGCATTGTACTTCACAACTGGCCAAGCAAACCCCCTCTCCGTCATCCAGTTCATATCCTTCCCAACACTGGCAGATGTTCGGTTCAATACAGCTACCGTTACCACATGGTCGCTCACAGAATGGCTCGCAGCTATCGTCATCATGTCTTCTGTAACCATCCCAACACTCGTACCTTCCTGGTTCCACGCAATCCGCATTGATGGGAAGATCCTCGCAAATAGGCCAGCATCCATCTACGGTTCCGTTGTTTGCCAATTCGTAGCCATCCGCACATTGGCACTCGTTGTCTCCAATGCAATATCCTGACGAGCAGTCTACCAAGGTCGAATCGCAAAGCGATTCATTTGTAAGTCTGAGGTCTTGCTTGGTTTCATAAGTGTCGTCCGAAACACATTCGATCAATCCGGAATCGTTGGATCGCTGCAGCCAGTAACCTTCGTTGCATAGAAGGACGTTTGGTGCTACGCACTGACCGGTTGTTGAGTTGATGAATCTGGAATCGCAAACTGGTTCACAGGTTCCGTTCAAACGCTCGTAACCATGCAAACATTGACACTCGTTGGGTGCTACGCAGGTTCCATTATGACAGGGAGGGTCGCATTCGGGACCGCATACATGCAGTTCATCCAACCGATTAGTGTAACCAGCAAGACACCGACAATCACCGGGCTCGGAACAAACTCCATTTGTGCACGGAGGATCACATACAGGAATACAGCGATCTTGATGCAAAACGTACCCTGGTAGGCATTCGCAGTGGTTCGGTCCGATACAGCTTCCGAACGTACAATTAAAAATTTCAGGTTTACAAACCGGTAGACAACTATTGGCTTCAATTTTGTCTTCCTTAAAGCCACGGAAACATTTGCAGGTGTTCGGCGCAATGCAAACGCTATTTCTACATGGTGGATTGCAGCTTGGGACGCAGACATTGCTTCGATTACCGACCTCGAATCCTTCGTAACAGGAGCATTCTTCGGGGCCAGAACAGTATCCATTGCTGCATCCACCAGGACATTCAGGGGTGCAGTTATTTCCGTGAAATACATATCCAGAATTACATTTGCAACGATTCGAACCAATGCAGATTCCATTGCCACAATCGACTACCTTAGGATCGCAAAGTGGATTGCAGCCATTCGGGTAATCTAAAGATTTTCCATAACCATGCAGGCATTGACACTCGTTTGGAGCAATACAGTTTCCATTGCTACAAGGTGGATCACAAATTGGCACGCATTCATTGTCTTCTCTGGGCCCTTTAGCGTATCCTACATGGCAGTTACATTTCCCAGGACCTTCGCACACCCCGTTAATACAATCCGGATCGCATACAGGAACGCATCCGTCCCGCATCAGCTGATAACCTTTCCAACAGAAACAGGTATTCGGCGCTTCACAGTCGCCATAAGTACAATTCACGTAGCTTGAATTGCAAATCGGGTTGCATATGTTCCGTTCGGTAGATGATCGCTCATAACCATGCAAACATTTACATTCGTTGGGAGCAGTGCATCGACCATTTCGGCAAGGTGGATCGCACATTGGTTCACAAATGTGGCTCTTGTCTACGCGTTTTGCGTAGCCTGGTGAACAGCTGCAATCGCCGGGACTGGAACAGATCCCGTTCAAACAAGGAGGATCGCAAATTGGGACGCACCTATTCTTCTGAAACTCGTATCCTGGATCACATTCACAGCGATTCGGTTCAACACAGGCTCCGTAGTCACAGTTAACGATACTGGAGTCACACTGAGGTGAGCATCTGCTGGAGTCTTCGGGACTTTGGTGTTCGTATCCGTAGTAGCATTGGCAAGTGTTTGGTGACACACAGTCTCCGTTTTCGCAAGGTGGATCGCAACTAGGAATGCAAGAAAACGTGGTGTTATTTGGTTTGAATCCTATGTTGCACGTACACTGGTTTGGTGCAGCACAGAAACCGTTGATGCATCCAGGTGAACACTCCGGAATACACTTGTTCTTGTGAAGTAAGAATCCTGGATTGCATTGGCATCGATTGGGTCCAACGCATGAACCGTTTCCGCAATCAACTATCTTTGGATCGCAAATCGGTACACATTGCTGCTTTGTAAAACCGGAAGACTTCACAAACCCATGCAGACACTGACAGGTGTTGGGAGCTACACATACTCCATTCTTGCAGGGTGGATCACATTTCGAAACACATTCGTTACTTCCAGCGGTTTTAGGTTTATAGCCTGTGTTGCACGTACATTTATCTGGACTGCTACAAATTCCTTTGATGCAATTCGGTTCGCATACCGGAACGCATCTATTTTTCTCCAGTTGGAAACCGTCCCTACACTTACAGGTATTCGGAGCAATGCATTCTCCATTGGTACAATCTACATATCCCGGATCACAAACCGCCAGACAGATGAATCGATCATTTCCGGAAGGCATGAATCCCGGTAAACACCTGCACAAATTCCTCCCAATACAGTATCCATTTAAACACACACGATCGCACTTCCCTGTACAGACCGTACCGTTCTTCAGTCCGTATTCCAAGAGCTTCGGATTGAAGAACTGATCACTCGGGCAAACACATTCCCGGCGCTCGTTGCAATACCCACCGATACAAGCTTCCCGACAGCTGGGAACGCAAACTTTTTGCTCGTTTTTCTCATATCCTTCCTTGCAAACGCACACATCTGGGGCAACACATTCTCCATTCTGGCAGTCGAAGCACTTCGGCTGGCAAATCCCGTTCTCTAGCACGAACCCTTGATTGCAGGTACACTGATCCGGACCTGTACATCGTCCATTAGGGCAACCGCTACTGCAAGCTGGAACGCATTTTCCATTTACCTTCACGTATCCTTCGCAGCAGCCGTACTCATTTTCCATGGTATATTCCAGATCACAGGAATTGGTATAATAACTATAACTAACCTTTTTGTTATACTGGCCGCTCCAACAATTGTAGTAGCAAGTAGTTGTGTCTTGACGCAGGTAAGACTTCGCTTTTGCATAAGGTTTCCTGCAGGGGTTCAGCAAAAGTTTTGTTTATCCAATCAATTCAAAATTTAGAATCCAATGTAGATCACCTACTTTATTCGATTCAAGCAAATTTGCCCCAAAATGGAAGGCAATACAATCAGGAAGACACTCGTTCCAACGGCGTTTCTCATCTTTTCCCTAAGCTGGAAATCTGACTAGTTGCCTCGAGAACAAACTTGTAAATGAACGACATCGAAATGGAATCCTTGCTTATCGTTTGACTTTGCTTGGACTTATTTCGTCGGATGATGTAATTATGCTGCCACATCTATGCCGATAATAGCGAATCTCAAGCTGCTTTGTTTCGTCTCGAACGGAAAACGATGGATAAATTACGAGTGTTATCTGAACCGGCATCCAGCACGTATAAAATACAACGATGACTGATGACATCGCAATGTAGGGTACAGGAGTACTGACACTAGTCAAGACTGTGTGTATGGAGTTAATATTTTCATATCAGAATCTTGAAGATGTTCCTTTGTTCGAGTTTTTGAAAGCTGTTTTAAGCCAATGTGGTGTTGCATCAATTCGCATCATTCACAAAATTTAATTAGAATCTGAGATTGTTCGCTTTCTTATGAAATTTGTGTGCTTAGATTTGTTTCAGTGTAGCCATTAAAGTTTTGATAATAAAAAATCCATAAAAATGTCCATCTTGCAACGACGACTTGAATACATTTTAATTGTTTTTTTTTAGAAATTTGATTTCATAATTTTAAGAAATCTGTTCAAAAAGTTACTTTCATTTAAAAATTATATTTTTTTTTCAGTGTAGGCATGAAACTTTTATGATTTTACCTGAAAAAAAAATCAGATTTAGATGAAACTTTTACATGTTTTGGCATTGAAGATCATGTGTTTTCGTGTAAGCTATGTCTTGAGATTCTGTCCATGTAGAAAACTGCTGTCTCTGGCAAAGTTGGTCAGGAAGTGATGTTCTTACGGATGGTGCACAACAAATTTTTCAATTCCCACACTACGTGGCACTGGTGTTAATTTTCGCATCCTGTACAATCAAAATCCCGGTCATCTATAAATTTAATTTCTTCGGCACTTTGTTTGGAGACTTTGATCTTTCTGATTGGATATAGTTGAGTTTGAAGTTCTCACATTACTTGGCTGTGGGCAAGTTAAATGTTTTATCATGCTATATATTTAGAGCCTAACGACACATAAAGTTGCTTCCTTCGTTAAAGTTGATTTAACAGACAAAACTTTTCCGGATGGTGCAATGTTCAGTGAGGAATTCTTTTAGTATGCAACGTTTAAGTGAACTTATGGCTGCATTAGAGAGTCCAAATCCTACCGGTGTCAGGAAAACTTTTAGATTTCCTACAAATTCGGCATTTTCGGAACAAGGATGACATGTCGAGGCCAGAAGTACTGCATGTCATTTTAGAATTCAAGATGGCGACTTCCAATTTCCGAAAAAGAGTCAGATATCCGTATACCTCGTTCAACATCTATAAATTTTGTATGAGGTGTATGAATTTCAAATTATTTTTCAGGCGAACGGATTTCGGTCCTGCACGGTATGTTGATGTTGATAGTGGGGAAGAAGAGAGATACATTTTGGCTGCAATCTAAATGTTATATTCAATGTAGATTTTATTTACAAATGAAACTGTAATCGTATACAATACTTCTATTAATTTAGCAAATACTCAAGCAAAGTTGCAGACAATGGATTATATTTTTTAAATTTAGATATTTCGTACTTTTTCATTATTGGTTCAAGTTACGAACAACTAGAATTGATTTCCTCAATGTTGGCTTAAGTGGGTTGCCTCATATATCACAGTTTTCGATTGCATTATCACAGATTTCATCTGAAATAAAAAGACACAATTAGTTGAATATCTGCGATGGGATATATAGAGCCGGTTTCAAAATTGCTCAAACACCCATGAATATCTTTGAACATGTCGAGAATTGGCCGGGATCGACTCAACAGGTCCGTAATATTGAAGCATCTCACCGTGCATGGTTGCGCTATCTTCTTTCTTTCTACAGAAGCCACGTGAAAATTTATAGATTACTACAAGAGTTGCAACGGTAGCGACGATCGGCAACACACCCAAGAGTGCGTATGAGCTCAACTGTTCAAGCCATGCTAGAGTTATAATGGTTCGTACACATTGCAATTCTCCATCAACTTCTCGTTGTTCATAGTCTTCGTTACATATGCAAACCTCTGGTTCCTGACAGACACCGTTTGTACAGTTGCCGCAAACCGGTTCACACGTTTCGGTTTCATTTGACATCTCGTAACCTTCGAAGCAAGTACAGTTACCAGGCACTTCACATATCCCATTACTGCAATTCTCGCACACCGGACTACAGCTGAAGTTGCTCTCCAAGTTCTCATAGCCTTCTTCACAAATGCAAAATTCCTCTACACAGAGGCCGCTTACAGCATCGCATTGTACTTCACAACTGGCTAAGCAAACCCCCTCTCCGTCATCCAGTTCATATCCTTCCCAACACTGGCAGATGTTCGGTTCAATACAGCTACCGTTACCACATGGTCGCTCACAGAATGGCTCGCAGCTATCGTCATCATGTCTTCTGTAACCATCCCAACACTCGTACCTTCCTGGTTCCACGCAATCCGCATTGATGGGAAGATCCTCGCAAACAGGCCAGCATCCATCTACGGTTCCGTTGTTTGCCAATTCGTAGCCATCCGCACAATGGCACTCGTTGTCTCCAATGCAATATCCTGGCGAGCAGTCTACCAAGGTCGAATCGCAAAGCGATTCATTTGTAAGTCTGAGGTCTTGCTTGGTTTCATAAGTGTCGTCCGAAACACATTCGATCAATCCGGAATCGTTGGATCGCTGCAGCCAGTAACCTTCGTTGCATAGAAGGACGTTTGGTGCTACGCACTGACCGGTTGTTGAGTTGATGAATCTGGAATCGCAAACTGGTTCACAGGTTCCGTTCAAACGCTCGTAACCATGCAAACATTGACACTCGTTGGGTGCTACGCAGGTTCCATTATGACAGGGAGGGTCGCATTCAGGACCGCATACATGCAGTTCATCCAACCGATTAGTGTAACCAGCAAGACACCGACAATCACTGGGCTCGGAACAAACTCCATTTGTGCACGGGGGATCACATACAGGAATACAGCGATCTTTATGCAGAACGTACCCTGGTAGGCATTCGCAGTGGTTCGGTCCGATACAGCTTCCGAACGTACAATTAAAAATTTCAGGTTTACAAACCGGTAGACAACTACTGGCTTCAATTGTGTCTCCCTTAAAGCCACGGAAACATTTGCAGGTGTTCGGCGCAATGCAATCGCCATTTCTACATGGTGGATTGCAGCTTGGGACGCAGACATTGCTGCGATTACCGACCTCGAATCCTTCGTAACAGGAGCATTCTTCGGGGCCAGAACAGTATCCATTGCTGCATCCACCAGGACATTCAGGGGTGCAGTTATTTCCGTGAAATACATATCCAGAATTACATTTGCAACGATTCGAACCAATGCAGATTCCATTGCCACAATCGACTACCTTAGGATCGCAAAGTGGATTGCAGCCATTCGGGTAATCTGTAGATTTTCCATAACCATGCAGGCATTGACACTCGTTTGGAGCAATACAGTTTCCATTGCTACAAGGTGGATCACAAATTGGCACGCATTCATTGTCTTCTCTGGGCCCTTTAGCGTATCCTACATGGCAGTTACATTTCCCAGGACCTTCGCACACCCCATTAATGCAATCCGGATCGCATACAGGAACGCATCCGTCCCGCATCAGCTGATAACCTTTCCAACAGAAACAGGTATTCGGCGCTTCACAGTCGCCATAAGTACAATTCACGTAGCTTGAATTGCAAATCGGGTTGCATACGTTCCGTTCGGTAGATGATCGCTCATAACCATGCAAACATTTACATTCGTTGGGAGCAGTGCATCGACCATTTCGGCAAGGTGGATCGCACATTGGTTCACAAATGTGGCTCTTGTTTACGCGTTTTGCGTAGCCTGGTGAACAGCTGCAATCGCCGGGACTAGAACAGATCCCGTTCAAACAAGGAGGATCGCAAATTGGGACGCACCTATTCTTCTGAAACTCGTATCCTGGATCACATTCACAGCGATTCGGTTCAACACAGGCTCCGTAGTCACAGTTAACGATACTGGAGTCACACAGAGGTGAGCATCTGCTGGAGTCTTCGGGACTTTGGTGTTCGTGTCCGTAGTAGCATTGGCAAGTGTTTGGTGACACACAGTCTCCGTTTTCGCAAGGTGGATCGCAACTCGGAATGCAATAAAACGTGGTGTTGTTTGGTTTGAATCCTATGTTGCACGTACACTGGTTTGGTGCAGCACAGAAACCGTTGATGCATCCAGGTGAACACTCCGGAATACACTTGTTCTTGTGAAGTAAGAATCCTGGATTGCATTGGCATCGATTGGGTCCAACGCATGAACCGTTTCCGCAATCAACTATCTTTGGATCGCAAATCGGTACACATTGCTGCTTTGTAAAACCGGAAGACTTCACAAACCCATGCAGACACTGACAGGTGTTGGGAGCTACACATACTCCATTCTTGCAGGGTGGATCACATTTCGAAACACATTCGTTACTTCCAGTGGTTTTAGGTTTATAGCCTGTGTTGCACGTACATTTATCTGGACTGCTACAAATTCCTTTGATGCAATTCGGTTCGCATACCGGAACGCATCTATTTTTCTCCAGTTGGAAACCGTCCCTACACTTACAGGTATTCGGAGCAATGCATTCTCCATTGGTACAATCTACATATCCCGGATCACAAACCGCCAGACAGATGAATCGATCTTTTCCGGAAGGCATGAATCCTGGTAAACACCTGCACAAATTCCTCCCAATACAGTATCCATTTAAACACACACGATCGCACTTCCCTGTACAGACCGTACCGTTCTTCAATCCATATTCCAAGAGCTTCGGATTGAAGAACTGATCACTCGGACAAACACATTCCCGGCGGTCGTTGCAATACCCGCCGATACAGACATCCCGACAGCTGGGAACGCAAACTTTATGCTCGTTTTTCTCATATCCTTCCTTGCAAACGCACACATCTGGGGCAACACATTCTCCATTCTGGCAGTCGAAGCACTTCGGCTGGCAAATTCCGTTCTCTTGCTCGAACCCTTGATTGCAGGTACATTGATCCGGACCTGTACATCGTCCATTAGGGCAACCGCTACTACAAGCCGGAATGCAATTTCCACCTGTCATCACGAATCCTTCGCAGCAGCCGTACTCATTTTCCATGGTATATTCCAGCTCACAGGAATCGGTAGAATAGGAATAATTTACCAATTTGCTAAACGTG